GCTCAGAGATGGCCTGGAAAGCCACACCTCCCGGGCGGACCGTCCCAGGCTTTCCTGATACACCTTAGCAGGTTCCCAGGGTTCCTGGCAAAGCTTTCCCTGCTAGTTTAGTGAGCACTTGCTATGTGTCAGGTGGACATCAGACACCATTCCACTCCAAAGCCTCAGGTTCAGGATATCATTTAGAGACCAGGCAGCCAAGGACATTAAGGGACAGAGACAGGCAGAAAGAACAGTGAGAGAAAGAAGTGAGAGGACAGAGAGAGACAGGAGAAACAGAAAGGAAACAGAGAGACACAGAGGGGACAGAAACAGAGAGACACAAAACCATAGAAAGAGGACAACTATAGACAGAGGAAAGATAACAAGGGACAGAGACAGGGAAGCAAGAGAAGGACAAAGAATAAGGAGAGACAGAGAAATCCCAGGCAAGAGAGACCCCCTCCTGGCAGCAGGAGCAACTCACACCTGAGTGGCAGAGCCACCGTGGAGAGCCAATGGCCTGGATTCAAACACCAACTCCAACATTCTGTGATCTGGGCAAACCCAGAGCCTGGAGGATGAGGATAATGGCAGTGCCTCTCACGAGTCAGTAACAATCTTCGTGCATGAGCAGTCTCTAAAGGTAGTTGGGCCACCTAACCAGGGCTCAGGTTGGACACTGGAGGCTGGTCTTGTGCTGGTGGGGGTCTACTGGGACCGACAGAGGGGGTGGCATAGGCTGTGGGGGACGGCATGTCCGGCTGGGCTCACAGTAGCGAGTGGGGAGCTATCCATGAGGCAGGCCCGCCCCCTAGTGGCTCCCTGGAGAAGCTGGAAGGAGGACAGGAAAGGACTTGGGTGAGATTGGGCCCAGGCCTTGCAGGGGAATCACAGGCCGTGAGAGGAAGAGCTGCTCCAAGGTAGGATGGGAGTCAGGCCAGGCACAGGGAGGTTTCTTCACCAGCAGGGAGATGGAGCTGAGAGGGGGGAGGCTTTGATGGGAAGCATCTTCCAGCTTCCTCCTTCCCTCTCCCTTCCTCTCTTTCATTCTCTGTGCTTATTTCTCTCACACGTGCCAAGGAAACACAGGGCAGAGAGGGTTTCTCATTGGAGGCGGAGTTCACAGCCTAAATGCAGGACTCTGACAGGTCGGTTCCCCTGCCTGAGATGCCTGTCTTTTCCTCAGTGAGAACTCAAACGTAAGGACCAGCCTTGTCCTCACTGTCCCTTTGGAAGTCATGCTCACCAGCCTTTAGCCTGAGCATTGGCTGCCACATGACCACCTTGTCCTCAAGCAGCAGCTTCTTAGGGGCCAGCAGCCCAGTATTATTTACCTCCTGACACCCAAAGCTCAGGCCAATGTCTGGAACCTGTTGATTGCTTAATGAACCAAATGAGAAGAAGAGTTAATGAAGACTAGGAAATAGGTAAGTAAAATAGGCCAATTAGAGAAAGACAAGCACCATATGATATACTTATATGTGAAATCTAATGAACAAAATAAACTAACAAACAAAACAGAAACAGACTCAGAAATACAGAGAACTGACAGGTGTCAGAGGGGAGGGGTTTGGGTGAAAAGGGTGAAGGGATTAAGCAATCAAAAAAACAAAAAGAAACAACCTCATAGACATAGACAACAGCATGGTAATTACCAGAGGGAAAAGGGAGTCGGGGGAGGTTGACGAAGATAAAGTGGGGATAAAGGGTGATGGAAGGAGATGTGACTTGGGGTGGTGAATACACGATACATGGATAATATATTACAGAATTGTACACCTGAAACCTAAGTAATTTTATTAACCAACTAGAGGCCCAGTGCATGGATTCGTGCACTGGTAGGGTCCCTACGCCTAGCCTATGGGAAGTGGGCCAGAACCAGCTCTCCAACATCCCCTAAGGGGTCCCAGATTGGGAGAGGGCAGTTCTCTTGGCTCCCTCCTCTCGGACTCCAGGTGTGTCACCTGAGAACCGCAGCTGCCAAGTCACTGCAGCTCAGCAACTCCTGCGTTGAGCATCTGCCTCCTGGAGGTCAGTGCAAATCATACCTACTGGTCAGATGGTCAGTTAGGCTTTTATATATAGACTAGAGACCCAGAGCACGAAATTTGTGCACGGGGCAGAGGGGGGGATTTGTCCCTCAGCCCAGCCTGCACCCTCTCCAATCTGGGACCCCTCAATCGGGCCTAAACGGGCAGTCGGACATCCTCTCACAATCCAGGACTGCTGGCTCCCAACTGCTTGCTTGCCTGCCTTCCTGTTTGCCCCTAACTGCTTCTGCCTGCCAACCTGACAGCCTGTTTGCCCCCTCCTCTGCCAGCCTGGTTACCCATAACTGTCCTCCCCTGCAGGGCTGATTGCCCCCAACTACCCTCCCTTATAAGCTGGTCTCTCTCAACTGCCCTCCCTTGCAGGCCTGGTCCCCAACTGCCCTCCCCTGCTGGCCATCTTGTGTCCACAGAGGGGCAGGATCTTTGACCACATGGGGGCAGCCATATTGTGTGTTGGAGTGATAGTCAATCTGCATATTACTCTTTTATTAGATAGGATAGAGGCCTGGTGCATGAGTGGGGGCCAGCTGGTTTGCCCTGAAGGGTGTCCTGGATCAGCGTGGGGGTTCCCTTGGAGCATGGGGCGGCCTGATCCAGGGGTCTATGGTGGTTTGCAGGCCAGCCACACCCCCCAGCAACCCAAGCAGAGGCCCTGGTATCTGGGATATATTAACTTTCTACAATTGAAATTTTGTAGCCTGGAGTGGAACCAAGCCTCCTGCTTGCTCCATGGTGGTGGCAGTCGTTTCTGTTTGGATTTATTTACCTTCTATAATTGAAACTTTGTAGCCTTGAGTGGAGGCTTAGGCCAGCAAAGACAGGTGGAAAGCTTGGCTTCCTCCGTTGCCGGAGAAACACCTCCCTCCTGCTCTCTGTAGCAATAGCCATCATGGTTGGGTTTATTTGCATACTTGCTCAGATTGGCTGGTGGGCGTGGCTTGAGGAGCAGAGTGATAGTTAATTTGCTCGTTTATTAGGTAGGGTACCACACAAATAAATTCCATTTTAAAAAATGTTTAAAAGACTAGTAAAAAGCCTCTAAGAAGATGGAAAAAAATAGAGATGGAAATATAATAGATTCCACTAAGTATGCAGATACATTTTCTCCTTTAGAGGCGTCTTTACCCACATACCCCCTCCCAACTAGCTCCTGTCCCCCATTCCCTATCCCTGCCACATTTCCCATAAGAGCCCTTGCAGGCTTTTCCTTGCCTCCACCCCCCATTCTTCACAAATGGCTTCAGGCCACAAAATACTCCAAAAGGTCCTGAAGGTCATCCATGTCCCCAAATGCAATGAGTGTCCTTTACCTCTTTACAGACTCTACCACATAAACACAGATAATGCCCACTTCTCTCTCTCTCTCTCTCTCTCTCTCTCTCTCTCTCTCTCTCTCTCTCTCTTTAATATATTTTATTGAATTTTTACAGAGAGGAAGGGAAAGGAAAGAAATAAGAGAGCTAGAAACATCTATGAGAGAGAGACATCGACCAGCTGCCTCCTGCACACCCCCTACTGGGGATGTGCCCGCAACCGATGTACATGCCCTTGACCAGAATCAAACCTAGGACCTTTCAGTCCGCAGACCGACGCTCTATCCACTGAGCCAAACTGGTTTCAGCATGCCCACCTTTCTATCTTCAACTCAGCTTGCTGCCCAGAGCCCTAGTCCATGGACTAAAATGATATCTCTATTTGAATGTCCCAGATAACTCAAACCCAACAGGCCTACAGCCAATACCCAGAAGCCAGCCTCATAACCCCCAACATGCCTACAGCTAATACCGGAAGCCAGACTCATAACCCCCCACTCCTCACATCCAGCCCCCCACCAAACCATGGCTCTCATCCCCAAGTCTGCCGCTCTGTTCCAGCCCTAGCTGAGGACACTCCTTTCCTCCCCCAGAAGCTGTAGCACTTTTACTTTTGCACAGGGGTCCCTGCAATGCTCTGTCCACAAGGCAGCTGGGAAGCTTTCAAAATGCAAATCTGCTCATTTCACACGATAGGCTACCCCTCTTCTGGTTTTAATCACTCCAGTGTTTTCTGGTTGTTTCTACAATAACAAGCCTTGTGCACTCAACTCTGCTCTCTGCACACAGCCCTGCCCTGACCCCTGCACCCAACCCTGCAATTCCCAGAATCTCTCTATGTCCCATGTCATTAACCCTTCCTTCAGAGCCTGTACCCAAGTCCACTGTCTATGGCCAAACCTTCCCGGCTCCTCTGACCAACTTAGAGTACTTCATGTCTCTCAGATCCCAATTCACAGGTCAGTTATTGATTAACTAGAGGCTCGATGCATAAAATTCATGCAAGGGGCCCAGCCCCCCACTGCCAACATGGCTGCCTCAGCCCCCACAGCCACAGAGGCCACCTCGGCCCTCGCAGCCCCTGCTTCGTCCAGAAGGTCATCCAGAAAGAATCTGGTCTAATTAGCAAGTTACACTTTTATTATTACAGATCTTTCTGATTTCCATTGGCTGCCCCCACCTCCACAGGACTGGGCAAGCACGGGGCCTGGTGTCAGCGAGGACTATGAGGTCTGCATACTGGGTATGAGGGTTGACACAGCATCCTGAGTCTGAATTCTCCTAAAAGTTTGGACAAAGCAGATAGGCAGGCAGGTGAGGCTGCCTGAAGTTGTTGATAGGAGCCAAATGGCACAAACCAGAGCCCAGCAGGGCCAGAGTGGGGCTTTACTTGGGCCCTCATCTAATAGGGACCTCAGGCCCTGGTACCAAGATGGGATAGGTATTTGCAGATGCAGATGCAGATGTGAGCCGGAGGTGAGAGGCCAGCTGAGGTGGGGGAGGGGCTCATATGCCTTCTGCCCCATAAATACCAGCCAGCCTGACAAATACAGCCTAGAACGTGTGCTCCATGACACCATGGCCCTGAGAGGAGCAGGGCATGTCTCACGCCCCCCACAGGCACTTACTTGAGCCTCACCACCCACCTGCTTACCTTGCATGTTGTGCTCAGCAGGGCTCCATCTCGGCTCCAGACAGCACCCTGCACCAGGTCCCCGTGGGCTGCCAGCTCTGCAAAGAAGCAGCCAAGGTTAGGGTCCCACATCCTGCCCTGGGCAATAAAAACACAGGGAAGCAGGTGGGCCTAGTTGCAGTTAACTCTCTGGGGCAAAGGCAACAGCTGCCAGAGTCCCTTCTCAGGTGGAAGGAACAAGGACAATAACTCCTTTCTGTACTATATCCAAGGGCTCCTTCCTCAGCCCTACCATTGTCAGGCCATGTTCCTACCCTGAAACATTCCAAGGTTCCCTGCTCCCCACCCCCATGGAACTACTGTGTTGTGCTGAGGAATAATTAAACTCTAGGCACAGTGCTGGGCACGTGATAAGGGCTTGAGATGATAGTTACAGGTGGGGTGACTCCCTAATGACATCTGCCTAGTGACCTTCACCTCTGCTTCAAGGGTCAGGCTGGTCTCTTCAACTGTGCCAGGAACCCTTTGGGGGTAAGCCCTGCACCTTGTACTTTCCATTCCTTGTGGCACAAGAGGCCTCCATGGTGGGCACTGACTGATGCTGTCAGGAGGGGAACCCTGAGACTCCTAGTTATGCTACCAATGGCCCTTGGCCTCAGCCCCACTGTGAGCTTGGTGTACCCTGGACACTGCACAGCTCTGGGGCGGCAGTTTGTCCTTCAACTCTCTGAATGTGTTTGTATGTGTTTAATTTGTTGATTTTAGAGAGGAAGGGAGAAAGAGAAATATCAATTTGTTGTTCCACTTATTTATACATTCATTGACTGAACGGGATTAAACTCGAAACTTTGATGTATGTGGATGACATTCTAACTAACTGATCTACCTGGTCAGCGCTGAGCCTTGTGTCTTTCCCCTTAAAAAGAAGGACTCTGCAAAACGGGGCCTGGAAGGACACTACCACAAAAAAACACTTGGGCTCAGCTGAGGTTCATACTGCAAGGTCATAACCAGTCAAATACTGAGGTGTCTGGCTCAAAGTTGTTTTCATCTAAGCATGCTCTGGATGTCTGTGTCAACCTCCCCGCACCCCGGCCCAAACACACACACATTTCACATGTTGAAACCTAACCTCCACTGTGATGGGATTTGGAGTGGGAGCCTTTGGGAGGTGATTAGCTCATGAGGGGGGTAAGCATCCATGAATAGGATTAGTATTTTATAAAAGAGAGCTCCCTCCCCTCTTCCACCATGTGAAGACACAGGGAATAAGATGGCTGACTATGAATCAGGAAGCAGGTTCTCATCAGACACTAAATCGGCTGGCATCTTGATCTTGGCCTCCCAGCCTCTAGAACTGTGAGAAATAAATTTCTATTGTTTATAAACCATTCAGTCCATGGGATTTTGTTATAGTAACCTATACAGACTAGGTCAATCTATATTAGGAAGATGAGAGGAAGAAAAACATGGCAAGGCAGGGATGGGCTGGGACTGTAAGAGAGAAAATCTTCATCTCATGGGTAGAAGTCAATAGTTTGTTTTCAAAACTGAAATAACATAACTCAAGAAATAACAGTATAAAAAAGTTATTCGGATGTGTGGAGGCAAAAGTAGAAAAAACAGCTGTAATTAAAACATATGCCATGGCAGGCCCGGAGCAGCGGCTGCCAGGCTGGGAGCGGCCAGGCCCGGAGCAGCAGCAGCCAAGTCCAGAGCAACTAGGTCGGGAGCAGCAGTGACCAGACCCGGAGCAGCTGGTTGTGGAATGAACCAGAGTAACAGAGGCCAGGCCCTGAGCAGCCAGGCCCAGAACAGCTTGCTCCTCGCCTGCCCCTGCCCCACGGCTGCCTCTCAGACATGGCTGGAAACTTTCACGGGAACTTGAGGGTCTGCTAAATCAAGTGATGAAGGCTTAGATCTGGATGTGTTGAGTTAGTATAGGGCTGGGATGTTGATCTGTGAGTGCCTTGGGTGGGGCCTGGATGAGGCTAGTTGACCTATTGGGAAATGTCTTTTGTGTGAAGTGTATCATTGGGCATGTGGAGGTATTATTGATATGAGAAAATGCTAAGTAACTGATTTACTATCTGAAAAGGGATTTACTATCCGGGAAAGGGAGGGAAAAAGAGACTGAACATGAACTGTGCACCTATGGATGAGGACAATGGGGGATGGGGAGGGGGTGGAGGGTGGAGTGGGAACCTGGTGGAGGGAGGAAGAAATGAGGAACCTTTGTGATAATATGAACAATAAAGATTGATTTAAAAAATAATAATAAATAAATAATAAATAAATAAATAAATAAATAAATAAAATAAAAAAACATATGCCATGGGAAATGGAGATGGTGGGGTGTTCTTAAGACTTGGTTTTATACTATGTACAAGTGATTTATTTTTTATACTTACTTTACAACTCATGATATCAAACACATAACAAAGAAACAGAACATTTTCCAGAAGGGGGCTGCCCAGACAATGACGTGGCTAGTGGGACCCATACCTGTTAGGGGCTGCTGCTTAGCCACATCCCAGACCTTCACGGCTGTGCCTGCCGTGCTCACCAGGACGCCATCCACAGTGGGGTGGAACTGCAGCACCTCTACCCGGGTGTCCTCAGGGCCCAGCACCAGCCCAGGTCCCGAGGGCAGCGCCTGGCCGGAGGCTGGCAGTCTCCATAGTTTCATCTGTGGGAAAGAGTAAGCCTGTGAGTCCGGCAGAGGGAAGGTCCTCAATGCCCCCAACTCCAGGCGTCATGCTTGGGCATGAGGCTGTGTGTCTGTGTTGGGAAAAGGAGGGAGATCTGGCTCAAGGTCACAAGTGTGGTTGAAGGCTGGGGGGAAATGGGAGCAGGGAAATCAGGGTTCAGATCCATCTCTTCTGAGCCTCCCACACTCCCCCAGCCCTGATGTCAGTCAAGCAGCAAGCCAGCACATCACAGGTAGGGCTCCGGGAAGGACACAGGAGTATGTGGGAGTTGGTGTGGGTTAAGGAACTAAGAAAGTCTGGGCTGGCATAGCCCTGCAAATCTGTGGAGGAGCTGAGGGATAGTGGAAGAGGTTGGACTAGGAAGGAGCAGGGCCCCAGAGGCTCAGAAGGCCCCAAATAGGAGTGGGTGAGGCATTGAGCAGCTCTTCCAATGGTTCCACTCACCGTCCTATCTGCTGAGCTGGTGGCCAGGAGAAAGTCATCAAAGGGAGAGAAGTCCAAGTCCGTGACCAGGTCTGCAGGAAAGAAATGATTGACTCAGGCCCAACTAGAACCCACCAGAACATCCTGCTTCCAGCCCAAGGCCTGGAATCAAAGCACAGGGCTTCAGAGGTGACATCTCTGCACATGCACACATGGAAGCAGGCTCAAAGTCCCAGAAGGAGAGCACCTCTGCAAACTATGGGCAACTGCCATAGGCCTGCCTGCAACACATATCCCCGCGAGCCCTGTAGACCCAGGGTGGCCAAAGACCTGGCAGGGAGAGGTCAGCGGGGCAATGGGAAAAGAGCTCCTCCCTGATGTGGCTCAGTTGGTTGAGTGTCGTTCCATGTACCAAAAGGTCATTGGTTTGATTCCCGGTCAGGACTCATATGCAGGTTTCACATTCAATCCCCAATCAGGGTGCCTAAAGGAGGCAACAGGTGGATGTTTCTCTCTCACATTGATGTTTCTCTTTTTCTTCTCCTCTCCCTTTCTCTCTAAAATCAATAAAAACATATTTAAAAAATGGAAGAAAAGGTATTTCTGTAAAAAAAACAACAACAACAACAAAACTCCTTGGATTACCAGGAACCTGAAGTTACCTAAAGCCCAGAGCCTACCAAAGGTTTGGCAAGAATTATGTGAATGAACACAGTTCTGGCCCCACTGCAATCACAAGGAATTCACAAACCACTCAGTCCGACTGTCCCTCAGCACCTCCTCAAGGAGACACACATCTGTGCAGATGCAACAAGGAGCAAGTTCTGCCCACAGGGGTGACGCATAGATCAGAGATAGGAAAGCCTTCAATGAGATGCATGATGAGTCTTGGAGAAAGCAGTAGGGGGAGGGGGAGGGGGAGGAAGATGGTTGTTGTCACATGCCTGACCTAGGCATTCTCTACCCTGTTACTCCCCACAAAGCTAGGGCCGACCAGTCCCAACGTGGGAGTGCACCTGATCTGTGCACCAGCAGCCAGCTTCTCTCTTAGGAGTTAAACCTGGAATAGGAAGGCCTAGCAACAGGATGCTTTAGGGACTAGGTGGGGGGGTCACCAGCTCAGAGGGAGCTGGCAGCTTCCATGCAAAGACCCTCCAAGACCTGAACATCTAGCTGATCCTTTGGCTCTGGAAGCTTCCCAGGAATTTCCCCATACATTTATTTTTGTCTTAAGCAAGTTGGAATTGGTCTTCTGTTCTTTGAAACCAAAGAACCTGAACTGTCCAGCTCTGGCAGGTGGGGGTTGGGGTGCACAGAGTGAACCAGAGCCCAGAAGGGAAATGAGGCTGGGGAGAGGGGGCAGCGGAGATGAGGCCAGAGCTTGGTGATGAGGGGAATGTAAGCAGGACAGCCAGGCCTGTATCACCACAGCAAAAAGCAGAGTGGCCACCCTACTGCATGCTCTCCACAGATCAAGCATTACATTTTCCTTCTGGCCAGAGATAAAGAAGGAAAAGGGGAGTATGAGGACAGGTACACCTTGGGACAGCCTCAGCCTGGACTCCTGGCCACAAATCCCTGTTGCCCCACCCTGTGGGCTCCGAACTGGACAGGGCAGGGCACAAGCCCGGAGCAGCAGCCAATGCAGGTAGTCTGACACAGTGAGGGAATAAGAGGTAGTAATGTGGCTGATCTGAGAAGCCTGAGTTCTTCATGTGCATTTATCTCACCAAATCCTCGGTGACCCACCAGGATGGCACTGTGGCATCATCACCCAAGTGGAGGACAAGGACACAGGGACAGAGAGGTTAAATAGTAACTTGTCTAGAGCTACATAGCTATGAAAGGCCAAAGCTGAGGGTCAGGCCAGGCTGTCCAGCTTCAGTACCTACAGACTCAGCACATTATCACACTGCCTTTCCCAAACTGGGGCACATCCCTGGCCCACCCCACACCCCAGACATGCAGAAAGGCCCTCTAGATGACTCCCTGCCCTCTGCTCCCCTGGGAACCTGGCCTAAAGGGTCACTTGGCCCTGAGACACGACATAGAAAGCGCCCCAAAGTCTGGGCATCCTGAAGACAGGGCAATAGCCAGAGCCCAGCCCACCACAGTCTTCCCAGCACCACTGGCAATGGAGCCTTGAAGGCAGGTTTTGAAAGAGCTGGAGCTCAGCTATTCTCACTGCAGCTTCCCAGCAAGGTTGCTCTGCAAAGAGAGGCTCTGAATAATTGGAGCTACAATGAGGATACAACCTGCCAACAGAAACCTGGTCCAGCTTCTATTGGGATCTCCAAGTCACAGGGCATTCACCATCTCACAAACTCCACCGATTTGCAGCAACTCTCCCGTGAATAAAAAATATCTAGAAGCAAGCAATAGGGTGCCTAAGAGCACAAGGTCAGATAGACCTGGCTCTGCCAGCAGCAATATCAACATTGGCAAGGTCCTAACCTGAGCCCCAGTTTTCCTAGCTGAAAAGTGGGTTATTTTTAAATATACTTGAAAAAGGTATGAGAGCAGATGAGAAAGCAGACTTCTTACATATGCTGCAACACAGGTGGATCGTAAAGCATTATGCTAAGTGAAAGAGGACAGACTCAAAAGACCATGCATGGTATTTTCCATTTATGTGAAATGTTCAGAAAAGGCCAGTCTATAGAGCAGAGGCTGGCAAACATTTTCTGGAAAGGGTGAGGTAGTAAATGTTTCAGGCTTTTAGGGCCATATGGTCTCTGCTCAACGCTGCAGTTGTTGAGAGAAAGTGACTACAGAGTGGCCATCGATGAAGAGGCCTGGCAGTGTTCCAAAACAACAGTTTACAAAGACAGGCAGCAGGCCAGATTTGGCCACACCAGTAGCTTGCAGATCCCAGCTGCAGAGGCAGAAAGTACAACAGTTGCCGGAGGCTGCAGTGCCTGAGATGGAAACGGATTAAGCACAAAGGGGCCGGGGGAATCTTCTGGGGAAATGTCTAAAACTGGATGCTGGTGTACACAAGCCTGTAACATTAATAAAAGTTATCAAACTCTTCATTTAAAACAGGTAACATTAATGATATGTAAATGATACCTTGATAAAGTTGTAAAAAGCTTTAAAGAAGGATTAGATGAGAAAATGGGGGGAAAGGACATAGAGAGGGCTCCATCAGTCTTCATTACTGTTATTTTAATAACTGCCATCATCATCATCATGATGCCTACATTGAGCTGCACATCCACAACAGGAACCAAAGGTTAGCCCCCTTCTCTCACCTAAGGCCATCCAACAGCCAGCCAGGAAGGCAGGCCAAGACTGGCCCACAGCTGCCAAAGCTGAACAGGGAGAAAGGAGACAGCTGGGGGCCATCCTAGGAGAGCAAACTCTTTCCTGAAAGTGGGCAGATTGCCAGGCAGATTGTTTGGAGCCCCCAGAAGTCGCTGTGGCAGCTCTCTTTGTAACAATTTCTCTCTTGCCCTGCAGCCCAGCCCACACTTTCCTTGGAGAGCACTGAGGAGTCTGGCTAGGGAGGAGGCCTGGTGGTGAGGGGAGATCTCCTAAGCTCCAGGAAAGGACAGGGGACTAAGAACCACATGGAGTGAGTCCTCTGCAGTAACAGGAAGCCAGCATCAGGGTGTCTGGTGCAGGTTGGTGCATACCCCCTTCCTCCCAGCTTGATCACAAGGAGTACCCAGCCTTCCTCCTCTCTGCCAGGCCCCAATTCTCTACCAGGATGTAGCCTTCTAATCTGGACTCCACCTGTCAGAAAGAACAGTGAAAACAACAGGAGGGTCCTGAAAAGTCACAGGCCTGTGAGACCAGGTGAGTATGAATCCCTGGCCCCAGAGAAGGAGCAAGTTCCAGACTTCCTGGATCCAGCCCCCACTCACCAGAATGGCAGCCCAGGTGGGTCACGTGTCTCTTGTTCTCTCCCTGGCCGTCCAGAGGCACAATGCCCAGCACACCTGCCAAATAAACACAGTTGCTCTGACTTCCAGACAGATGGGGACCATCTACCTCCCAGCCTAGGACTCCCAGGGTACATAAGATCTAAAAGCTCAGCCTTGGACCTTCCTAGAGCCTCCACCAATTGTAAGATCCCATCCCTCTAGACATAGCAATTGGCCCAGGATTAGGTCCTTGCCCCACACAAGAACCTTCTGTAAAACTGGAGATATAGAAGATACTGGGAAAGAGACTCTTTCTGGCACTGGGGATCATAAGAGTAAGGTGCCAGCAGCTGCCAGTTTTCCCAGCTTTACCTAAGATAGAAGCCTTTACCCATGGGCGTCAGAGCTGAGGGCAAGAAAGAAACCAGGACTTATAACATGCATGAGCCCTGGATACAACTCTGCCTGAAGCCCCTGGACTTCTTAGATATACAAATCAAAATGATATCATTCTTTAAAAAAACCCCAAAAACATAAGTTTTTAAAAATATATATTTTATTGATTTTTTTACAGAGAGGAAGGGAGAGGGATAGTTAGAAACATCCATCAGCTGCCTCCTGCACACCCCCACTGGGGATGTGCCCACAACCAAGGTACATGCCCTTGACTGGAATCGAACCTGGGACCTTTCAGTCCGCAGGCTGACGCTATATTCACTGAGCCAAACCAGTTAGGGCAAGGATATCATTCTTGCTTAAGAATTCAGTTTGTGCCCTAGCTAGTTTGGCTCAGTGGATAGAGCGCTGGCCTGTCAACTGAAGGGTCCCAGGTTCAATTCCAGCCAAGGGCACATGCCTGGGTTGCAGGCTCGATCCCCAGTGGGGGATGTGCTGAAAGCAGCCAATCAATGATTCCCTCTCATCATTGATGTTTCTCGTTCTCTCCCTCTCCCTTCCTCTCTGAAATCAATCAATAAGTATATTTTAAAAATTAATAATTCAGCCGAAACGGGTTTGGCTCAGTGGTAGAGTGTCGGTCTGCAGACTGAAAGGTCCCAGGTTCGATTCCAGTCAAGGGCATGTACCCGAGTTGCGAGCACATCCCCAGTAGGGGGTGTGCAAGAGGCAGCTGGTCGATGTTTCTCTTTCATTGACATTTCTAGCTCTCTCTCTCTCTCCCTTCCTCTCTGTAAAAAATCAATAAAATATATTTTTTTTAAAATTAATAATTCAGTTTGAAATTATCACTGGCAACCAAAAGAGTCCCAACTAACGCAAGGAGTTTTATAAATCTTGCTATTCCTATTGATCCTAACCACCCTAGGCTCCCAGACAAGGAGTGGAGAGCATATGGAGACAACTCAGAAACAAAGGCAATAGCCCCCTCTCCACCCTCCGGACCATGCTCTTAAAGATTACAGCCAACACTGTTTATACAAAGTATACACATACATTCTCGCCAAAACCCATCTGATTACTGCATGTTGACCAGTTTGCAGGGATCTAAGGCCCTGCATAGTGCTAACTTCTGAACTCTGTGAGACCCCTCCAAACCTCCAGCCTGCAATGAGTCTGCCCTTCTCCCCATCCTATTTGGGTGACAACGTCTGAATCTCCACACCCAGGTCCACCTCCCTACCTGTACGGTCGGAGTTGAAGGCGATCAAGCTGCAGCTGGATTTGATATGGTTCCCACAAGATGGGGTAGTTCCTGCTCGAAGGTCAGTGATCCAGGCCTGGAAATAAAGAATAAGAACCCTGAAGGCCAGGGCTCCACAACTGCCTAAAACAAGGGCTGAGGCGTGATTCAGGGAACCTCAAAGCTGCACCATTAGTGATGCACTCCTTTGGGTCAAACTCTGTCCCCATTCACATAGTCCCTTAGATAATGCAAAATGTTCTTGAAATGATAATCTAAGTCATAAAGGGGCCAGATTTGCTTATTAAATCAGTTCTCTGATAAGGGAGAAGAGGCTGTCAAAAGGAAACTCAGGCTGAATGAAGTCAAGGGGCTAACTGGGCAGTGTTCACTCACGTTTGAGTGCTGTTTCTGTTAAAGGGAATAGAGAGAAACAGAGGACAGAGAAGTGAGCACCTAGACAGAAAACAGTCTCAACTTCTTCAACTATATTGCTGAAGACTTCCAACGGAGTCCAGAGTCTTCTCCAAACGCCAGGAGAAAACACCCACACCCAGGGAAGGGTAAAAACAAGGCCTTTCCAGAAAACCCCATAGGCAGTGAATGACACACCGCCAAGAAAAGGCAATAATGCTAACACCCCCACGCCTGAAGGAGCAGAGGAACATTTTTTCTGAAACTCAGATCGGTGAGGTCCACTTGTTTTCTCTGTTGGTATCAAAGCATCATTCAACACTCCTTCTTGCCACCCAACAATCTAGCACTCACATTTCCCCAATTACCCACCCACAGTGTCCCGGAAACCACCTCCACCACACGTTTCATTTTCAACGTTCACCAGCCCCTGATAAAATATCATTTTGCGTTCTTTTTCCCTCCTGATTCATGTTTACAGTACAAATACAGTGACAGGAAATACTTTTGAAAACAGGAACAGATCACCTGTTCCCATTTCCCTACTATAAACTGTTTTTAAATTTCCTCCATAATCTGTTTCCATGCCTGTCTGTTTATCTTGCTGGAAGGAGGACCACCTGGCAACAAGCCCCAGGGACCCTCAGGGCCACCCCAGACCGCCCCCCCCCCCCCCGCCCCAAGCAGTACTTACTGCACTCAGAGGGATGTGCTCATTGCAAATCTGAGCATCTCTCCCCAACCCCCACCCCATCTCCCCGCTGCACTCAGAAGAAAAGCCAACTTCTTCCTGTGGCCTTCGGATTCTGCAAGATCGTCCTGGACTCATTGAGCAACATGCTTCCCCGTCACCGCCTTCCATCCACCATGGCCCACTTCCGTTCCTCCACCAGGCACACTTCCCCCCCACTCTCCCTCTAGCTGGCTGCTTCCCACCTTTCTAGCCTCAGTTTCCTCCCAGCAGCCCCCCTGATCACCCTTGGTGAGATTAACCCCCACCTCACTGTCCACCTCCGTCTCTGCAACCTGCCCTGATGGTGCAGGGCATTTATTATATTAAAACTTGCAATACCCTTGTATGTAAGCCTGATCTGCTTGCTGGCTGTCTCCCCTCGTGAGGCTGTACGCAACACAGGAAGGAAAGTGCTGTCCTATTCACTGTTCCAGCAGCTGCGCACAGTGCATGGCAGACGATGCAGAGGAAATACTGTCAGAAGGTGAAAAACAGGCTTCTGCCCCCACCCAGCTGCCCTGATGTGCGTTGGCCCCTGAAAGGGTCACTAGATAGGGTCAGTCCCTAGGCCCACCTATTGAACCACACTGCCAGGCCTTCCAAATAACATGAGCAGCAGCAAACCAGGGGTGGCATCATCTCTGAAGCACACTCCTCGTGAGGCCCGCTGCCCTGCAGGGGCCTGAGAAGGCGCTCGGTACCTCTGGTCTCCACCCCCTCGAGCTTCTCGAGGCCCCATCCAGCCCCTGGCAGCATCACCCCGAGAGGAGGAAGCGCCGGCGGAAACCCGAAGGAGAGGTACGGCTCCCCGCGTCCATCGGACACAGCCGGACTCGTCCAGGGCCAGGGCAGCAAGGGGCATCTCCCACACCCCAGCCCCAGGCAGAAGAGACTGGGACGTCAGGGAGGAGGAGCTGGCGGCAGAAGCGGCCGAGCCGCGGCTCCCCGGGAGGCCGACCGGAAGCCGAGGAGGCAGGCAGCCTTGCGGACTTCAGGCCTCGGACCGGCCGGGTGGGCTATGCCACCTCGGGGGTCCCGGGGCCAGGCAGGCGGGCCGACCGGCCGCGGGTCTCACCGAGCGGCCGGAGGGCGTCTCGGGAGCGGCGGACACCGCCTGCCGGGTGGCGACCGGGCGGCCCGGACGCCGGTCCCGGGCCTGCAGGGGGCGCCTCGGGACCGACGGGGATCCCGGAGAGGGATCCGAAGGGGAAGGAGGTTTGAGGCCGGGAAGGGAAAGGGAGTGCGGGGTCTGCGGGCCGGGCTCACCTCACGGCGGGGCGGCCGGGCCTCCGTATGCCGGAACTTGGACACCTTGAAGCGGCTCATGGCGACAGGGACGGTGACAAGCCCAGGTTCGAAGAGCCGGGCGTCGGCTCTCAGGTGCACGGCGAGCAGCCGAGAATCCCGCGGCCTCCGGCTCCGCCCCGCGGCCCGCGCCGCCCTCGGCCACGCCCCTGCACATCTCAGCCAACCGGAGTCCGCCCCGGTCCTCTGGGCCCCGCCCCCTGTTCTCCTCCCTCCGCGCCGGGACCGGATGGCAGAGGGGCCGACGGCGCGAGTGGGGATGTCACGTACGCGCGCTGTCTGCCCCCTGCCAGGCGCTGCGTGCGTGGGGACTAGGGGCTGCAGCCGCAGTTTTGTGTGCGGGGGTTTGCTTTTTCCAAGGGGCGGGGCGCCGCTTCATCCCGGGGGAGCAGAAAGGGCTGGAATGAACGAGCTGCCTTTCAGGGACGGGAACTCAATCCTGGAGAGAGAAGCCACTGGTCCAAATCGCACAGATAGTGAGTGGCAGCAGGGGAGCCGGAGCCCCCTTCTGACTCTAATCCTTGCCCATGGGGTCTACCCTAAAGCCTCTGCACCCCACCCACCCTGCTTAGGCCAGGAGGTCTCTGCGGGAGGGATGGGGCCTTCAGCATCCCCTTATTAGGGCATGCCTTGGCTTCAGGCCTTGGGCGCTGTGAGGCGGGGCTCCTCTGAGTAAATCATAGTATCATTTACAGATAAACTGAAAGGGCAGAAGATAAAGGCTGTGGCTAATCCTTGAAATACTAAATGTGCCCTACAGGCGCTGCTTTCTTATTCCTGGACAACTCTGGAGGAAAAAGATCTGTGTTCATTTCACCTGAAGCCATCCATTGCACAGCATTTCTCTTCCTTTAAAAAATTGACTCCACCCTAGCTGGTTTGGGTCAGTGGATAGAGTTTAGGCCTGCGGACTGAAGGGTCCCAGGTTCGATTCCGGGTCAGGGGCCCATGCCCTGGTTGCGGACTCGGGCCCCAGTGTGGGATGTGCAGGAGGCAGCCAATTCGTGATTCTCATTATTGATGTTTATCTCTCTCGCTCCCTCTCCCTCTGTCTTAAATCAATAAAAATATTAAAATAAATAAATAAAATTTGATTCCATGAATATACTTTCTGAATAAGAACAGACATTTGCTTAGGTGTGTCTGAAAAACACTTTGATCTGAGGAATGGGAATAATTGGTTGGAAATGCCAACTGCTGTGAAACTTTCCTTTGCAACAGCAGCCTGCTGCAGAGAGAGCTTCCCTTGGGGTAGGCTGTACACCGGGTGATAATGAAACCTTGGCTTGGCAATGGGCACAGATTGATACCAAAATGCAAGTTCTCTTTTCAGTTCAGTGAGGACAAAGAGGAAACTTACCAGTATCCTACTAAGTGAGTCAGAGTAACTTTATTCTCCATACTCTAAAAATAGGAGGTCAGCCCAGCTGGCATGTATGGACCTATGAACCAGGAAGTCACGGTTCTGGCCAGTGTACATGACCAAGTTGTGTGTTCCGCCCCAGTGTGGGCATGCAGGGGGCAGCAGATTAATGATTCTCATCATTGATGTTTTGGTTTCTTCCTTTCCCTTCCTCTCTGAAATCAATAAGACTATATTTTAAAAAATAAAAATAAAAATAGGTCAGTATCGTTGACGAAAGCCTAGGATTTGGAATTCTGGGCAGCCTGGCAGCTTTCTCATGGCACATATTTTTCAGACTTAAATTCCAGTAGCTTTGGAACAGGCACCATCAGGTCAGTCTTGAGTTGGTTATGATGTATAGTTATTGCTTCTCTTTTTAAATATATATATATATATATATATATATATATATATATTTGTATTGATATCAGAGAGGAAGGGAGAGGGAAAGAGAGGTAGAAACATCAATGCTGAGAGAGAACCATTGACTGGCTGCCTCCTACAAGCCCCCCACTAAGGATCAAGCCACTTCTCTCTTTTTTTTAAATTATGGTAAAACCATGTTAAAAAAGTTTACCAGCCGAAAAACTGGTTTGGCTCAGTGGATAGAGTGTCTACCTGCCGACTAAAGGGTCCCAGATTCGATTCCAGTCAAGGGCATGTACCTTGGTTGTGGGCACATCCCCAGTAGGGGAGGTGTGCAGGAAGCAGCTGATTGATGATTCTCTCCCATCGATGTTTCTAACTCTCTATCCCTCTCTCTTCCTCTCTGTAAAAAATCAATAAAAAATATATATTAAAAAATAAAAATAAAAAGTTTACCATTTATTTTTATTTTATTTTTAATATATTTTTATTAATTTCATAGAGGAAGGGAGAGGGAGAGATAGAAAAATCAGTGATGAAAGAGAATAATTGATCAGCTGTCTCTTGCATGTCCCACACTGGGCATGTGCCCTGGGAATGGAACTGTGACCTCCTGATTCATAGGTTCATGCCCAACCACTGAGACACACTGGCTGGGCCTAAATTTTTATTTATTGATTTGAGAGAGAAACACTGATTTGTTGTTCCACTTATTTATGCATTCATTGGTTGATTGTACATGCCCTGAGGGCATCAAACTGGAAACCTTGGTATATCAGGATGATGCTGTAACCACCTGACCTACTTGGCCAGGGCTAAATTTTCCATTTTAAAGTGTACAGTTCAGTAGTCTTAAGGACATTTATAGGGTTGCACAACAGATATTCTTAAGAAAGTAAATTTTATGTGCCTTTTTTCACAAAATTTAAAAATATAAATCAACTATACAACTATTGTGAAGTTTATGTAAACTTCCCATTATTTCCTTAATGTCAGTCACTTCATTGTTATCCCTAAATTCACCTTTTTTTTTTTTTCCCTAAACGGGCACAGTCAGCGAGTGAGGAAAATCTTTCATCCACAGATGTAACATAGGCTAAATCTAGTCCATATATATGTTTTATTTATTTATTTATTTTTTCTTTTTTTTTTCATATATATGTTTTAGTTGGTTCACTTAGTGTTTTAAAAATTGGGACACTTCCTAAAAGTTTGGATTTCAGCCAAAGCCAGTTTGGCTCAATGGATAGAGCATCAGCCCGATGACTGAAAGGTTCCAGGTTCGATTCTGGTCAAGGGCATGTACATTGGTTGTGGGCACATCCCCAGTAGAGGGTGTGCAGGAGGCAGCTGGTCGATGTTTCTCTCTCATCGATGTTTCTAGCTTTCTATCCCTCTCCTTTCCTCTCTGTAAAAAATCAATAAAAAAAAAAATATTTTTTTTTTAAAGTTTGGATTTCAGCCTCTCTTGAAAAACAAAACCCCTGATCTTCTCAGGAGAGAGAGAGGCCATGACCTGGCTGTGCTAGATCATGTGACTATATTTCCACAAACTGGGGGCTGGTAAAAGCCGAGTTGGAGAGTGTCCTCTTTCCCATTCCCACAGTGACCAACCTGAGCTCCACAGCAGGGGAGAAGGAAGAGCCAAAATGACATGAAGACCCAGAGAGTGACCATCTTACATGTTCCCAGATCCATTCTGGCTGGAGAAAGTGATTCTTTCTAGTAGAAAGTTCAGAGCTCTAAGGCTGCTGCAAACTTGAGCACAATAAATTGCTTCATGAGTTGCAACGTTGCAACGTTGAACTGACATCCTCTAAGATTCTTTCCAGTCCCATGAGCCTATGAATTACCAGCTTTGTTCCTTTATGCTCCTAGTAATTCCACTTCACTGTCTTTAAGAACCTTGGCAGACACCTCTCAACTCTAAAGGGCGGTCTATCAAATGTGGGTCAAATGCCAGCAATTTGAGGTTGTCTGGTTAGCTGGATAAATGGCAGAATGATTTCAATATCACAGGGCCTGATTCCAAGAATGATTAATAACAAGAATCTAGGAGGCCACTGTACTGAAGTCCTCGTTTTAGAAAACTCAAATTTCATGAAACTGAAGAAACATTAGCAGAAAGAAAAATGACCAGCAAGGAAAAAGAGGGCAAACACCCACTAAAAAGCATCAAAGAGTCTTAAGATATATTCTTATTTTAAACTATGACACTATCCCTCGCCAGGTTGCTCAGTTGTTGGAACATTGTCCTGTACACCAAAAGGTTTTGGGTTTGATTCTGGATCAGGGCACTTACCTAGGTTGTGGGGAAATTTGCAGAAGGCAACCAATGGATGTTTCTCACATTGATCTCTCTCTCTCTCTCTCTCTCTCTCTCTCGCTCTTGCTCTCGCTCACTCACTCTCTCTATCTGTCTCTTTCTCTCTCAAAATCAATAACAAAACATATCTCTGGGTGAGGATAAAAAACAACAAAACTATGACACTAAAGACGACATTTTCTGTAGGAAATGTTTTCTAAAGTCAGTGGTTTCCATAGATCAGGGTTTTTGCAAGAGAGGAAGAGACGAAGTAGCTTCAGTGCATTAGATTTCATTCCTTAAATTTAGTTATCTGCCCCTGAAATGGTTTATTAAGATGCACATTGATGGCTCAGAGGTTGAGTGTCGACCTATGAACCAGGAGGTCATGGTTTGATTCTAGTCAGGGCACATACCCCATTGGTTGTGTGCTTCATCCTCCCAGTGTGGGGTGTGCAATGATTCTCTCTCATCATTGACATTTCTATATCTCTCTGTCCCTCTCCCTTCTTCTCTGAAATCAATTTAAACAATTTTTTTTCAAGATGCACATTGAAAATATTTTTATAGGTAAGCCCTGCCTTGTTCATTTTAAGAGCTGGAGCAGAAAGGCATGTGCAGTTACCTCAGCATAGGAAATAAACAATTATGCAACAAAATACATTTCAAAAATTGGGAAAAACACTCATAATTCTCCCTTGCCAGCATGACTTTGTTGTTTCTCAAATGGAGGTGTTCCCATGTGTTCTTGGGACTCTGAAGTTTTACTACTACACCTAATGATTTGTTTTTATTTTTATTTTTAATTCTCACCCAAGGATGTTGTTGTTTTTTAAAACTGATTTTAGAGAGAGAGGAAGAGAGAGAGAAACATCAATGTGAAAATCACGAATTGGTTGCCTCCCATATGCACCCGCACCGGGGATCGAACCCACAACTCTTTAA